AAAACCTATCAATTTGACAAAGCAACTAAAGAACAACTACAAGCTATGCAGGAGTCTATTGAACTTGCCTGCACTGGGGCAAACAACCTTTTATGGGATGAAGTTAACTTAATTTTTAAAACGGCCATGAGCAATAATATTTCCTCTAAGCAACAAAGGATACCTACATCACCGGCCAGGGCATTCCCCCAATATGATAACAATATCAAATCAGCAAAAGTAGCAATAAAAAAGATTCGTAACAATAGAATACCCTACAAGCTCCCATAAATGGGATCAACTATCCTTGAAAACCTTACCAGCCAGTCAAGTTTTTTTGAATGAAAAAATGGAAAAAGCAAGGCAGCTTGCAATTGATGAGATCCGACATCACATTAAAAAAAATTTTCACAAATTTTGGGAGAAACCTAAAGCAGCAATCAAAAAGGCCTTGGGGAACCTGAAACCATCTCTAGATCTTTCCATCCTATCAGATGGAAACAAATCCACGATGACCCCAACAAGCTCAATGAAATCATCATCAACCACTTTAAAAACATCCTGCGCAGCAAGCCTTTCAGTCTTGACCAGCAGTGGTCACCTGAATATGCCCCCAGGAATTCTATTCCCCTCAACACCTTCGACAAAGCAACAACAAAAATCACGCTAGATAAAATTAATAGTGCACTTGCTAATCTTCCCAAAAGAAAGTCACCTGGCCTTACAACAATCCCTTATAAGCTGTGGTTGAACCTGGGCTTGTCTGTAAAAATACATATTAAAAAACTTTTTTAACTCAGTCATAAACTCTGGCAATCCTCCCACCCACTGGAAACACTCAATTGTCACTCTTCTGCCAAAAAAAATAGTCTGGTCTCATGAACTAGCAGATATCCGACCGATCTCTTTAATCAAAACTAGCAGGAAAATTTTTACTAAAATCATTAATACCAGGCTGTCCGAAATCATCTGCAAAAACAAAATCCTATCAGAAAACTCCTATGCAGGTCTCAAAAATCAAAGCACTATAAAACCCCTAGCCATAATTTTATCTGAACTTGAAGCCACAAACAATCTTAACAGAGAATACTGGATCACCTTTTTTGACATTTTTAAAGCTTTTGACTCTGTAACCCTTGATAGATTGGAAATAATCATATTTATTTCAAACCTTCTTCATAACCGCAAACTAAGCTTTATAACATACTACAAACTCTCCAATATATTAATAGTAAATAACGATCTGGATTATACATGTTGCTGAAATTTGTAGATCCTTGACGCAATTGACACAATTATTTGACGCAATTAATTGAGTCACTATTAAAACATATAAATAATTGAGTTATGATGCAATTATTTTTGAGGATTTTAGGAATTAAGTCAACAGCAAAATAATTTACACCACATGTATAGTCTGGACCAAGGAGAAACCCTGGCACCCTTACTTTGGACTATCTTTTATAACCCCATGGTATCCAAAATAACAAAATAACTGTTTGACAAAGCTTAAATTCTCATATATATAGATGATGCTGCTATCTCAAGCAGCTCCTTACAAAACTTGCAAAGAGCCACAGATCTGTTCTGCTCCTTTCTTGAGTTAAACAACATCAAGTACAATAAGAAAAAAACAGACCTTATAACAAACCTTAAACCTTCGCATTCAAGTAGACAGAATTCTTTGCTAGTTGAGAACGAACCAATTCATGCCAAACCATATAACAAAGCCATTAAATATCTCAGTATCTTTTTCTTAGGAAATTCTTCCAACTGTGCAACTTGAAAAGCTCTTACCAAAAAAATTTAAAATTTCACATCAGCTATAGCAACACAAAAATCATGAAACAGGCAAATCACCAAGCAAGTATCTCACTGGATCATTCCTGCACAACTGAAGTATGCTATGCATATCTCCTTCACAACAAACAATGAAATAAACTTTCTTCAAGCCAAACTCAACAAAGTAACAAAATCAAAGCTTGGCATCGAGTGAACAATTTCTAACAAGATCACTCACTCCAAAGCAGGCTTAGACCTAGTCAATCTGCAGAACAGAAGAGACATTACAGCAATCAAACTTTTGGTCACAAGGCTTGTCAACCCAGTTTACCAAATGTGAAATCATATTAATACAAGCTGCATATGCTATCTGGTCATGTCCCATTTGCTTCCCACAGTTATTCAAAAACTCATGGCTAATGCAAGCAGCCAAAATTGCTGTCAAATACTATATCAACGTCTGTTCAAACCCATGCCCATTCAACATGCCCAACCATGAAGTTTCAATCAGTCGACTCGCAAAAATCAGTAAAAAAACAGCTCTGTTTCTCTTCTTTTCTAATATCAAAATTCTCCCCAACATACTCATTTTTAATGAGCTCTTTAAACTCACTTGGCAAGAACTTTATACTCACAAGGGCTTTACCACCAAAGGTCCTATACCTCATTGGTTTATCAGTCTAACAAACATATCACCACCACTCATTGTTGACACTTCACCCCTACCAAATCCAAGTCCCAGATTTTGGAGCTTCCTGGAAAATAATTACTTAAGCTTCATCAAAGTGAGATACAATGCCATAATTCGACCCTCGCTCACCAGGAGACACCACATTCTTGCTCCAGGCAACAAACATACTACTATTTGTTCTTGCCCAATACAATCTTGCCTTAAGAGCAAATACCTCAGCAAACTCAAATCAACTTGGACCATAAAATATAACAACTATCATAAACTCCTTAACAATATTGATGAACTGACTTCAATTCTCACCCCATACCCACACACACTCCTCAGCTAATAATATAACCACCTCCAACTAATAATCAGCTAATAACTTATTCCACTATCATTATATACTCTAATGTTATTGACATCTGAACCAATACTCTCCTGCTCTCCTATTCCAATAACTATAATATCTGAACAGCCTTTTGGCCAATTATTCTTCAAACAGTGATCAACTCTGGATCTAATGCCCACATAGTTTGCAAAGTTCTATCCAAATCTGATCTTTATATTCCAGAATACATTAATAGACAAGTCAAAGTCCTATTCTCCAAACTCATTAGCAGAATCAATAAAGAAACCGCTCTCAAAAGTTTAACTATTACATGGGATAAGCTTAAACTCACCATGAAATCAATATTCCAAGCAACTCCTCTCTTAACTCCACCAACCATGCCACCCATATTTTTCTCATCATCACCTCTTATTAACAATGCCAATACAACAAGTATAACCCATTGGATCAAATTTGTGAATCTCTACTCAAATCTTTATGACCTTACCCTTAGTCAATTAGCAACATACAAACCTATCTCATTCGACCAGTTTGAGAACATTATCAATGCTAACAAAAAGCTCAGGAAAAGTGACTTACTTAAATACAGATCCCTCTCTACCTTTCGAACCAAACTTCTAGCAAACCAGCTTCCCACGAGATCCAAACTCCATAAGAGATACTCCTCACTTTATTTAGACAACATTTGCCCAAGGTGCGATATTGAAGAAGAAACTCTTAATCACCTTTTGTACTGTTTATACAGCAACAGGTATATTATCAAAAAAAGGTCCAAGCTTATCAACCTAATTCAACAAAGCCAACAAGATTACACCTCAAGGGCTAATCTCTACACTCAACCAATTAGTACCACAGCAATCACCAGCCAGCTTATATTTCAAATGGCTCTTGGTATTTACCAACCCCCTTTTGAAACCATCACCAAAAACAAAAATTGTATTTCAAACAAATCACTAAAAATTCTCTACAAGATATGGAAACAAAGATCTGAAACCACAACCATCTCACCTTCTACTGGAATAGTTTGAAAGAAAATAAAAGCAATAAACACTCAACCCCAAGCAAAAAATATTGATAGTGTATTTCCAACCATTATCAACATATTAGAAGCTAATCATTTAAATATTAACAAACTTATATTCTCCTCTACACCAACATCATTGTTCTGAATGAGCACAAGCCATTCAGCATTAGTAGTGTCTAATCCACTTACGTAGTGTAAATTGGTTCTACTAAGTTGTTGCAATAGACTACAATTAACTTACTTAATGTAAAGATTGTTTATGTACTGATTATAAACACAAGTTTAATAAAAATTGTACATTGTGATCAAAATCTGTTTGATCTGTATCCGAGTGGTAGTTTTTAGAAAGAATTAGAGATTATATAGAACAGTCTGTCATTCCAGAGATAATCTCTCACAAATATTCCAAGGTACAGCAAAGATTCCCCAATGAATCTTTGTAACCAATATGTGTTTAATAAAATAATAATACTTTATTATGACACCGGGTCAGAAATTCCAATGGTTACAGAAGTAAGTTATCAGCAAACTGACTAAAAATTATATGAATGGCAGCTACTTATATAGTGTTTTCTATTCTAAGCTATCTGGACTGTCTGGGCTGCCTAATCTACGTGTTGCGATGTCATAATTTCATAAATCATAGGTCTTGTAAGTCTTCTGGGCTGTTTGGACCTTCTAGGTTGTCTGATCTACATTACACGTGCTATAAATAGATATTTATACTATAATAAAATTATAAATCCTACTGCTAAAAATAAATTAATAATAATTTGATAAAAATAAGTA